TTTTTTTATTTGGTACTTGTGTTGATTAATAGGTTCCTCATGGATCACAACAAAAAGATACTACTCATAATTCTAATGTACTTGTACGTACGCTACTTTTGGAAGAGGGGTGTCAAACGAGTGCGCCAATGATTCGGAAATGATGGGACATGAATTTACGTTAGAGTTACTTCACCATAATCCTCTACAATGTTTGAAGTGCTACGCATTTCCCGTGAATCATTTGTTCGGCTATATGCTCATTTTAGAGTAAACTACGCGTTAAATGATAGCAAATATGATGTAACACCCAAAATCAGAAAGGCAAGAAAGGAAAGAAAATCTAAGTCAAAGGGGTCAACTCATCGAGTCCAGGGAGGAACTCGACGAGTCGAAGCGGGATCCGGGGGATCACTTAAGTAACCGACTCGGCGAGTCGGCAAAGGGGACTCGGCGAGTCTGGTATGATCAAGGAAAACCTTAAATCCGAGACTTGGAGCCTATTTAATCGTGTCATTCTCTTCCCTAGGGTTCCTTTACTGCCTCTATAATCCAGAACATCGAACCATATCCGCCATATTCGTTTTTGAGCAAAGATCTAGCCTTGGAGTTGTGACTTGAAGCTTGGAAGAGAAGGAAGTTCATAGTGGTGCAATAGGAAGCCTTGGATCCAGAGTTGGTGTGACTTTTCAGAGCATTTGAAGGTAAGAAGTCATTACCTTCACTCCTTTGCTCATAGTTTCCTTTTGTCATGAGATTTGGGGCTTTTATGCCATGTCCTAGAGCCAATTGGAGTTAGAAGTCCAGATCTGAAGTTGCTGCTTCAGATCTAAGTGTATTCTAGCCTAAAGAGTCATAAAGTATCAGTCTTGGGGGTGTAGGTGAAGCATGGTTGTCTTAAACCCGAGTATGGAGTGTTTTGGGCCTAGATATCCTTAGCTACACGTAAAGCTTGCAACTTTACGTGAGGAATAGGCCTTGGAAGAATGGATCTACAGTTTGGAGTCCATGCATGACTCAAAAAGCTTCTGAATGTATAAAACACTGAATAGACTTAGTGAGTCCTTCGAGTGGACTCAGCGAGTAGTATGAAAATTAGGAGGAACTCGACGAGTTGGATGAACAACTCGGCGAGTCTGTTGAAGTTTTCCTTGGACCCGGCGAGTCAGGTCGCGAAACCCCGAACCCTTCAAGCTAAGACTCGAATCAGTGAGTCGAGTGGAGACTCAGTGAGTTGGACAAAACAAGACTCGGAAATCGGTGGACTCGACGAGTCATAGGTTGACTCGGCGAGTCGAGTCGCGAATGGAAGGACTCTAAGCATATGAACTCGACGAGTCAGTAGGCAAAATCGGCAAGTAGGGTTGACCTGGAAGGTTGACTTTGACCAGAGTTGACTTAGTTGACTTTTGGAGGACAATTCGACTAAGTGTTATATTGGTATTGATAGCTCGGGTTGCTAGTGGAACCACAATTCAGAAGAGTTGTCGGGCAGCAGCAGAGGGGTTTCAACAAGTTCAGTAAGTGCAAGTGAGTTTCCCTTTGTGTGAATGGGTCTAAGGCCACAATGCCGACCCATGTAGATATGAGTAGGAAGACCCAGGGGTTAGCCCTATGCACTGTATGCCAGTATGATATTTAGGACCAAGGTCCATTGATAAGCGGGCGGGTACCCAAGGAATGGTTTGCATGATAGAGTATACTTGTTGTCTGTGTCAAGCTTGTATGTGCCTGGTAGGGAGGTGAGTGTGGGCGAGGCCCCATATCTCACCAATAGTAGAGTGTGGATGGTGTTCCACATCTCATTAGCAGCAGAACAGGGGCGAGGCCCAAGTTAGGGAAAGAGTGAGTATGGGTTGGGCCCGTATCTCACTATCAGTAGGAGTGTGGATGGGGTTCCATGACTTATCAGTAGCAAGACAAGGGCGAGGCCTAGGATAGGCGAGGCCTTAGGACAGAATCCATTAGTATATGTTTAGCTTATGTGTTGTGATATGTTTATGTGCTATTATATGTTAGCGGGCGAGGCCTAGTGACAGGCAAGGCCTAAGTGAAACAGATCAGTGTCCGAGCGGGGCTCGAAGCCAGGCGGGGCCTGGAGCAGCGGAGTCGTTGTAGCGGGTGAGGCCCAGAATAGCGGGCGTGGCCCAGTATGTGCAGTATGTGGTTATGCATGGTATGTGGTAGGTTGGGGAACTCACTAAGCTTCATGCTTACAGTTTTCAGTTTTGGTTTCAGGTACTTCCGGTAGCGGAGGGAAGAGCTCGGGGTGATCGCATGGCACACACCATAGATTAGACAGTCTGGGAATGTTTTACTCTGATAATGAACATATGTTTGGAAATTAATACTCTGATTATGTTTTGGATTGATGATTATGCTTTAAGTAATGTTTTATTAAAATAAATTTTTAGTCTTGAATTTTGGGACGTTACATATGTGTCGGTTGAAGAGAAGATGACTAAGTTTTCGATGATGATCGGTCATAACCAACGTTATGTGATTATCAAGCGGGGATTTAAACACTCAAAGCAAACAATTCATAAGTTTTTTCATGAAGTGTTGGACAAAATGTTGCTTTTCGCATATGACATTATAGTACCAACTTTTTTTAATCCGAATCCAAACATTCTAGGACATAATAGGAGGCTACGGCGGGTGTTCAAGAGAGCAGTTGGTGCACTTGATAGCACTTTAATACATGTTGTTGTCACTGCAAACAAACGAGATTTATATAGAAGTAGAGGAAAAGGCGATTGTTACCAAAACATATTGGCAATATGTGACTTCAACATGATGTTTGCGTTTGTTGTGGCCGGTTAGGAAGGGATAGCACATGATTCTAAAATTTTATCAGAAGCGTTAGCAAATCCACATGCACCATTCCCGCTTCCACCACCAGGTAAATTTATGGTTATTTAAATAGTTTTATCTTAGCTTGAAAAATAAATAACTTTTTTTTGTTTTTTTACAAATAAATATTATCTTTGTGATGCCACCTATGCAAACATTCAAGCTTTTATGGCACCATACCGTAATGTGAGGTATTAGCTTGGAGATTTCTATTGAAGACGTGCATTAACGAATATATAAAAATTTTAACCATGCACACGCAAAACTTCAGAATGTCATTGAGCGTGCTTTTGGTGTCTTGAAAGCACGATTCCCTATATTGAAGAGGATGACATCATTCTCGTTGGTTACCTAACGAAACATTACCCTAACATGTTTTGCGCTTCATAATTTTATAAGAAGAGAGGGACTACGTGATGAGTTTTTTGCACGATATGATGAACCAAATGTATCGGTTCAGAATAACAATGCAGTCATTGATAATGATGATGATGAGATTCCAACATATGGTACTGCAGCGGACCGTGAATATATGACCGAATTACGGGATGAAATTGCCGAACAATTGATGCAAAATATGGAATGAAAATTATTAAAGTTTGGTTGTATGAATTTTATTTAAAAATGTTATTTCAATGTTTTAAAACTACAATTATTAAATTTTTTGTATTAAAAAACTATTTTCGGTTTATTAAATTACTTTATTTTAAATTTTTTAATAATTGCAGCAGTCAACAGACGTTAAAAATACAAACATACTTCTCATTACAGTCTGCAACACTTTAGTCCATCTCTTCTGCTGCAGAGGGCTGCAAAGGTGGTCCGCAGACTTTAGACAATTTCACTCGAAAAAACGAACAACACCTAACTTATTATCAACATCAATGCTTTTCAAAAATAAAAAATGATGAGAAAATGACAAGTGTCATTTTTATAAAGCATTGAAAAGAAAATATAAATTATGAGAAAATAACAAATTGTAATAATAATTATTTTTTTATTAGTATAGAAAGATTAGATGAATATTCGTACGTTATACAAATTAAATATAATTCTTAGTTTTAATTCTTATATGACTAAGTGAATAAAAAATTATTTATTTGATTATTTTTAAAATTTTGACTCATTGTTTAAAATATTAATGTCTACAAGGTAATGTACTTTATAATTTTGTGTTATTGCAAATTATTATTATTATCTAATTTTTTAAGCCAATTATTATTATCAAAAATTTATAGAAGATTAAAAATTTAGGTATAAAGCTTTTCTTGTATTTATCTCACATTAACTAACAAATTTATGTATTATTAAAATTTTGAAAAATCTTAAGAGTTTATTAGAAGTTTGAAATGTCAGTGGATTTTCAATCGTAATATGCTGCAATGAATTTTGTATATTAATGTTTATAAGATAATGTAATATAATTCATATTTTTACGTTATTACTAATTATTGCTATTAATTAATTCAACATACCTATTATTATTTAAAAAAAAAAAAGAAGCCTAGAATTTAGGTATAAAGTTTTTTCTTGTATTTATCTCACATTAATTAACGACTTTATGTGTTATCAAAAATTTTAAAGATCATGAGAGTTTATTAGAATTTTAATAGGTCATGGAAGTTTATCAAAAATTGTTATGGAAGTTTCAAAGTAGGGATAATATCACTGTAGCACATGGAACTTTTAACGTTTGGCTAATTTGGTCCTTAAAGTTTTTTTTTGGTACATTAGACCATTAAACTCGTAACTGACCTTTTAATGACATCATTTTAGCAACTTTTAGAAAGTTTCCCGGTTATACGATGCCATTTTGTCAATTAATATATATTTTTTGTCTAATCCGATGCCAATTGAGATATGCCACATCAATTAATGAAATACGACGCTTAAAGCCTTTCGTCTTCAGCTATCGAACTTCAGTAGTCTTCTTCTTCATTATTGAGCTGTAAAAGAAACTGATTTAGGGTTTGTGAAGCATTCCTGTGATCGAGCTGAAAGAAACAAAGAACTCGCAACAATGGCACAATCGGAACCTAATGGACTATTTGCGATGGTGGAACTCAACTACCAAGGGGTATTTAATCGAAATCCTTTCTCTTACACTAGTGGTGTTAAAACCATCTTCAATGATGTTGACTTTTCTTCTATGACTTATTTTTGAGTTTATGACCTTCTGCGAACGTTTCATGCATGAAGAGTGTAAAAAGTTTTACTACTGTGAACCAGACATGTCCTTCATGGAAGGCCTTAATCCCATTTCAGATGATGTGGAATATTCTGCTTTTATTTTTGATGCTTATGGAACAAATGGTGTAATTTCGGTTTATGTGGATCATATTGGGGTTGGTGTTGATGGGTGGCATGATGATGAAGATAATGATGATGATGAACATGAGTCTTGTATTGATGGTGAAAATGAAGACAACATAGATGAACTTAGAAATGTTGCCTTTGAATTTAATGAGGATGTAGTGCATATGAATAGGACATCAAATGATCCTTTCTTGAGTAAGCTATGTGTTGATGATGAGGATGCAAACAACATTGTAGATGATGACAATGGGAGAGAAGTTGAAGTTAACATACAAGCTCATTCCATATTTAATGAGCTATTACACTGGAAAAAACAAAAACCAATTCTAGGGATGAGATTTAAGGGTCCAGGGCAAGTAAAATCAATGTTGTGTAACTATGCTGTAGCTAATGGATATCAATTGTGTTTTGAAAAAAATGATCGGACAAGACTTTTGGTGAGGTGTAAAAGGTGCTTGCACATTTAGATTATGGGCTTCCTGGATGAGTGATGAAGAGAGTTTCCAAATCAAGTCACTAAAAGCTAATCATAATTGTGCTAGGAACTTCAAGTTTGGATCATTGGTGACATATGCATGGATTGGGAGTCACTATACCAAAGAGATTGTAGAAAGTCAGAAAATAAGTGTAAGGAAGCTTAGGTTAAAGGTAATGGCCAAGTTTGGTATCCAAGTTAGTATGGGGCAATGTAGAAGAGCAAAGAAGTATGCACTGAAACTTGTTGAAGGAAACCTTGTTGAACATTATGGTAAGCTATGGTCATATGGTCATGAGATTCTAAGGACAAATCCTAGGTCAACTGTGAAACTAGATATAGAGGATGGGCCAGATGGAAAGAAATATTTTAGCAAGTTCTATTGTTGTTTTCAAGGAGTTAAACAAGGTTGGATTGAAGGGTGTAGAAGGGTAATTGGTCTTGATGGATGTTTTCTTAAAGGTGTTTGTAAGGGAGAATTGCTTTGTGCTATTGGGAGGGATGCAAATGACAAGATATATCCTATTGCTTGGGCAGTGGTTAATGTGGAGAACAAGCAGAATTGGAAGTGGTTTCTAGAGCTTCTCATTGATGATCTACACTTGAATTTAGGCAATGGTTTCAGTTTAATGTCAGACCAACATAAGGTTAGTATTTTACATAGTAATGCATTTATGTTAATTTTAGACTATCTGAATTTAACCTTTTTACTAATACAGGGTTTGATAGAGGCTGTTAAAGAGTTGCTGCCATATGTAGAGCACAGGCAGTGTGCTAGACATATTTTCCAGAATTTGCAGAAGAGATTTACTGGTGCCATATATCATACCTTGTTTTGGAGAGCATCTAAAGCCACAACTGAGCATGCTTTTAAAGTTGTGATGAAAGAAATTGAGACATTGAACCCAGAAGCCCATCAATATCTCATGGAGAAAGATCCTAAAACATGGTCTAGAGCTTTCTTTCAAACTGGAAGGTGTTGTGATGCAGTTGAAAATGGGTTCTCAGAAAGTTTTAATGCTGTAATAGTAGATGCTAGGAAGAAACCCATAATAACCATGTTAGAGGAGATAAGATTATACATGATGGACAGAATCTACAACATGAAATTAAAGGGACAACAATGGGGAAATCATATTTGTCCAGAGATAAGGGATAAGGTGAATTTTCTTAAAAAGCTCAAAGGCATTATCAGGTACTACAAGTGGATTAAACCAGTTTGAGGTAAGGGGAGCAATAGATGCATATGAGGTGGACTTAGAAAGAAAAACATGCTCATGTAGGTTGTGGCAATTGAATGGATATGGATGTGCTCATTCTGTAGCTAGCATATCCTTTCTTAATAGGGATGTAGAAGCCTATGTAGACAACATGTTTAGCACAACCACATTTAGAAAGGCATACAATTACAGAATTGCTCCCATGAATAGCAGTGACATGTGGCAAGAGACAAACTATACTCCACCATTGTCTCCTATTAATAGAAGGATGCCTGGTAGGCCAACTACTAAGAGGAAGAAATCCACTACAGAGAATATAGGAACACACAGGGTTTCTAAGGCTGGAAAGAAAATCAAATGTAGTATTTGCAAGGAGATAGGTCACAACAAGGCCACTTGTCCACAGAGAAGGCCCCAAAAGTTAAATGTGAAGAAACAGAAGAAACAAAAAGTATGCGTGAACCAAAATGCAGGACAGGTAAAACAATTTAAAATATAAGATTAGTTACATATAATTTGTTACTAATATAATTATATCATGCCATGTAGGGTAGTACAAGTGAACCACAAACATGAAGAGGTTGAAATGACTCCAATTGAGATGGATACTACTCAAAATGATATGCAAGTTGCTCCTACTGATGTTGAATCTAGTAGTGCAGGGGATTTTATTCAATATGTGCAATTCACTCCACCTAGAAGTTATGAAGGTGATGAGGGTGTTATGGGTGAGGAAGCTGATGTGGTTGAGGAAGCTGTTGTGGTTGAGCAAGTTGTTCAAGATGAGGAGGCTGAGGAGGTTGATCCTGTTATACAAGTTGATAATGTAAATGTTCAGGAGGTTGATGAGGTTAATCATAATGCCCAAGTGGATAATGGTAATGTTCAGGAGGTTGCTCCTGTTAACCAAGTTCAGCAGGTTTGTGTTAGGCCAATTTCAGATATTTTGAAGAGGATAAGGAGAAGAAAGTCAGAGAGAATACTAAAGCTGAAATTAGGCAAAACAATTGGTGGTGTTGATGATCCAGGAAATTCGAAGGGAAAAGCTCTTGTAATTGATTAGTGTTTATTGTAATTTGTGTTTAAAGTTTATGTAATGGATGATGATAAATTGGATTTTAAGTTTATGTAATAGGATGATGGTAATTTATATTTAAAGTTTATGTAATAGGATGTTGGTAATTTATATTTAAGTATGTGTGACATTAAAGGGTATTTTGGTCATTTAAGTATGTATGAAAGAAAAAGGGTAATCTGGTCATTTAAGTATTTATGACAGAAAAGGGTATGTTGGTCATTTATTTATTGATGACAAATAAGGGTATGTAGGTAATTCATTTATGTATGCAAGAAAAGGGTAATTTGGTCATTCTGTATTTATGACAGAAAAGGGTAATTTGGTCATTTATTTATTGATGACAGATAAGGGTATGTAGGTAATTCATTTATGTATGCAAGAAAAGGGTAATTTGGTCATTTAAGTATGTATGACAGAAAAGGGTAATTTGGTCATTCATTTATGTATGTAAGAAAAGGGTAATTTGGTTATTTAATTATGTATGATAGAAAAGGGTATGTTGGTCATTTATTTATGTATGCAAGAAAAGGGTATGTTGGTCATTTATTTATGTATGACATGAAGTATGAAAGTATGTTACCATTTTAAGTAAAATCATGACATTTGGCTTTGAATATTTATGCATGGAAAAAATTGGAATAATGTGCATGCATGGGGATGTTTTATATGGCCCCAGATTTGGTTTTTTAATGGCTTCACAGGTCCCATTTTTTCATTATTAAAATGGTCCCCATACACATAGTGTACTTCCACATGGACCACTTCCTAATTAAATATATTTGTTGGGAATATAGACCATGCATATGTTGATAAACATCATCTGATTATACAAAATGCCCTACAATTGGGACTTTGAATATTTTTTTTACATTACTTATCATATGCCCTTTCATTAGGGACTTACCACCTTACAACATCAACACATTAAGGTTGATAACCCCAACTTATAATAAAACCAGCTTCAATACATACAAAATGCCCTTATGGAACTGACTTTCTAGTTTGCCTTTACAAAAAATACAAGGGATCCCAAAAAAACAAAAGCTTACCCTAACCAACCAAACTAACTACATTGACCCCCCTAACTTCAAAACACATAGGACCAAGCAACCAAACAACAAGGCAACTATCATCCTGTACCTGCCTATTGACTTCATTGCATCATGAACTTCTTTCTCACTCTTTGCCACCTTATACTGCTCCTGTGACAGCAAAAACTCCACTTCAACAATCCTTCTCCTCAAATTGTTCATCTCAGACATTTCATCTTTGGCATCCAGTTTTTGCTTCAGAGAATATAGCAGGTTTTTGTAGTACCCGTCTGCCTGTTCTTCATCTTTCCATTCAAAGAAGCTACATTTCCTCAACCTAGTCTATAAATAGACAATAAAATTAGGGTTTGACTGACAATCACAAATCAACTACCTTTAATGTACCAGCGAAATGGGTTTTATTCACAGTGATCGTCAAGAAGGAAATAAAATTAGGGTTTTTAACAGATGAAACAAAATACAAATACACCATTGTCGTTTTTACCAAAAGAAACAACACATCAAACCATAAAATACTAACTTATCAAAATCAAGAGAATCGGGACCTACCATATTGTTTTGACAATTCCAGAATCGCCTCCCAGGGTTTGTTATCTTCCAACAAGTTTGTTCTTTAGCTGGAACGACACAATCACAAACCTTTACCCCTTCTTGCGACTGAACATGAGTGACTTGTAGCTGATTCCTTGACGTCGATGAGCTCGAAGACATTCTTCTTCAGGATGGAAATAGTCGGGGAGGGAGAAGTCTTTGACTTTTCAGAGAAGGGTAAGTAAAGATTGAAAGGAGGTCCAAATGAGGGTTTCAATTAATAAGCCTATATCGACAACCTGACCACGTAAGCTTATTGGACACATCAGCGTGCCACATAAGCATTGTAACCGGGAAACCTTCTAAAATGGTGTAATTAAAAGGTCAGTTACGAGTTTAATGGTCTAATATACCAAAAAAAAACTTTAAGGACCAAATTAGCCAAATGTGAAAAGTTGCATGTGCTACAGTGACATTATCCCTTCAAAGTAATGTAGTGCAAAGAGTTTTGCCTTTTTTATAGTATAGTATTTATCTCACATTAACTCAAGAAATTAGTATAACAAAAGGAATTTTTTTTGAAACGACGAAATCTTATTAAAAACCACAGCCTATACAGAAATAAGGTCGGACACAGAAAAACAAAAAACAGAGTACAAACAAAAACAATTACATGATATCAAAGGGAGAGCAAACCCAATCCCCCCCCCCCCCTTTACAATTCCTATAATTACCCCTATGTTTGATCTAATCAAACACCATAACAAGCACACTATTCGCCAATATAGAAAGAGAATTACTCAAATTATTAAAAATGTTGTCATTTCTCGTTTTCCAAATACATCATAAGAAACCATAGAGGATGGCCAACAAAATTTTCCTTTTTTTTTTGGATAATTTCCCCAAGTTGCAGCAAATTACACAAGCCTCCAATTGAATTAAAATTCTGCCACGGGATACTACATCAATTGAAGAGACACCTTAGAGAAACTTCCACCGGTGGACAACTTAGAAAAAAAATGATTGGAATCGTTGATACCACCATTGTACAAATACCCCTTCAAGCGAGAGCCACATCCAAAGGAAGCCTACCAATACAACCCTCCAAACAAAGAAAATAATTATCAATGGTACCAACCTTAACCAAACAATCAAATTAGGCATATGAACAGTAAGCTTAGAATCAATTATGACATGCAAATCATGAACGGAAAAGTTCCCATTAGAAGAGAGCTTTGATCTCATCTGTGCAGCCCCTTAAGCCTCTCAATTCCTTGATTTCGATATAGCTACTAGGAATTCTCTTCCAAGCCCCGACAAATCTGTTATTCAAGATTATCTCCTTAATATAACATGATTTTTTTCTTATCAAGGGCAAAAAGAGTTGGGAATCGCACCGCCAAAGAACCACAACCTTTCCAATCATCTAGCCAGAACAAAGTGGTATTACCGGAACCAACATGTATTTGAAAAAAATGAAGAAATCTCAATTCCAATTTCCTCCACCGCATGGGACACCTTGACAATATTAAACCAGATTCTAGAAATCGATTTTTTGGCAAGACCATCAATAGGTAGGTTTTCTCATGTTGCCACAGATGACTCACTTCCATAAATGAACTGAGTTACATTTAAACCTCCAAAGCCATTTGTATAACAAAGCCCAATTCAACGAATCGAGGGAGCCCATCCTGAGACCACCTTGATCCTTAGGCCCAAGAATCACCTTCCAGGCCATTCAATTGATTTTATTTTTTCTCTCATTCCCTCCCCAAAGAAAACGTATGCAAATCTTTTCAAGATGCTCAATAACGGACTTAAGAGTCATGAACAACGAAAAGAAAAATAAAGGTAAACATTCAATGATCGATTTGACAAGACTTAAACGGTCATCTAAAGAAAGATGTCAAAAAAGGGTTAAATAACATAAAATATCTAATAAAATGTTTAATTTTTCGATACATTAAATCACAAGTATTAATAACTCATAATCTCAATTAAAGGTTTAATTTATCAATAAACCAAAACATAAGGAGTATTAACTTTTAATCTCAATTAAAAGGTTTAATTTATTAATAAACTAAAACATAAGGAGTAATAACTCAAAATCTTTAATCTTTCAATAAACCAAGCTAAATAATATATGGACTCATGGAAAACATGCACAAAGGATCGGTCTTAAATTTTGTCCAAAAACATAACAAAAAACTCAATCTCTAGCCTACTGCATATCATAACGTACATCAACGGAACATCTGCTTAGACATATCTAGACTACTGCTAGTATTTTAACTCCCATAAATCAAAATTTTCAAATGTATGTAATTTCCCCCTTCTAAATCATTTTTTTCAAACTCTAACGAAATAGAGTATTTTAACTCCCATAAATCAATTTTTCCGACTCTTATAGATTGATTTTTCCAACCCTTGTTAATCGACATAGATGCATTTTTTATAACTACAATAATTTATAGTGGAAATTGATTTATCATGATGTTATATGCGCCTAAAAACCAGATTAAAGTGGTTACAAAACATTACATACATATCTTAAATGACATTAGAGCATTCATAACGCATGGTTAAATAAAATATTTGAACGAGATGAAATTTCAAGTTAGCATACAATGAATCAAATCCATCAAAAAAGGATGTCAAGTTTTCATACAATAAGTTTTGAATTGAAAAACCATTCAAATGTTGAATGGAAAAAGGTGGCCCACATTCTTAATTTATAGAGTTCAATATGCTATAAAATTAAATGATAATTTATTATGAAAAAAATAAAATGCTAAGGTCCATTAAACTTTGTAAAGGTGAACATATCATGGATGTGCTTATAAAGAATGTTGGTTGAGTTATTCATTGAAACGACCATAAAAATCTTTTGACCTTTTAGATTTAGCTCCTCATTTATTCATATGAAAATATTTTAAAAAATTCATAGTGTCCTATAAATATTTGTAACACAAACCTTGAAACTAGGACCGTAAAGGAATCAATATTTTGGAATATTTTTCTGTTGTTTCATTAATTAAAACTTCGTGTATATACAAAATACTACTTAACTAAGAAATTGGATTTGTTTCATAAATTAAAGCTTCATGGATATACAAAATACTACCTAACTAAGAAATTGGATAAACGGAAACATCAAAAGCAATAAAACCATATTCTGCAATTACATATATGTAACACTTTCCCTTAAATTTGAGCATTATTGATGAGTAACTTGACCTTGAGAGTTTTGAACAATAAAGAAGCATAGACTAGAATACAAACACCAGAACAAAAATTCAACAATAGGACATAATATAAACAAGACTAAAACACTAGAAATGGAATTTAAGAACGGGTCTAGAGCATGAATGGAATAGGAACTTGAGCACAAAATGAGCAATGAATAGAAACCTTTTGACCAATAACTGGTATTGAGACAAAAAATTTGTCATCAAAAAACACTTATCCACAAGTAAAAAACACATATTTATATTAAAATATATGCATTTTTTGGAATACTATTTTTTGAATAAATTATGTAAGATTAATAATAAAATGTGTACATAGTTTAATGGTAAAATATGTTCAAAAAAAGTTTCATGTTAAAATATATACACCATCGATCAACATTAAAATCTATGGTGGCTGCTACGTGGGATGACACGTATCATATCACATGACTAATGCTAGTAACATGTTATACCGGTAATGCAAGTTATTACTTTTAACAAAAGATAAACTTTAATGATGATATATATACGAAAGAAATGTGTAATGGTAATCTTCTTTGATAAATGAAGGTTTTTTTTTGCTATTTGTCACTTTATCAAAGCTTTTGTCACATGTCATTATATGAGATTTTATAATTATTTAAATTTCATATGTCATTATGTAGTATCTTTATTTTTTTTATTAATCAATAATCAATTCCACTAATTAATGAGTCTACTATTATATATGTAAAGTATTCATTCTATTTAAATATTTATTAATTTACAAATATATTTGAATTCAAATGTATACTGTAATGACACAATTAATGTCGTATATTTGATGATATATTTGTATATTTGAATTCAAAATATACCTTTAATTTTTTGGATTTTTAATTTGAATTCTAACAAATTTAGTCTTTATTCAAATTTTATAAATAAACATGTATGTATAATACATCTTTATCTCTACCCTAATAAATAAAAAAGAACACAATCTTCAAAGATGTATATGAAAATTTTCATTCATAACAATTATTTACAATATGTCAATAATTTTTTTATTAGTATATATTCAATAACTATTTATTCATAATTTCGTTTGTATACATTTCAAAAGATAATTTAAAAAATATTTAATGTTTACACCTTAATTTTCAACATCATTATTTAAAGAGATTTTTGTATGTGTTGGGTTTAATACAAACAATCCTATGTGTGCATGCAACCCTAGTATTGGATCTATGTTTTCACTATTAGTTATACAGCTTTATGAACACAAAAAGAAACCTGGCATGCTACTATAATTTTCGAAATTCATATATAAAGCTAGAATACATACCTTTTGTTGTTATATAGCAATAACAACTAGTTCCTTGAATTTCCTTAGCTCTTGAAAGCAAGTACCACAAGTGTAGTACCTCTAATGGAGTCACAAACACCATATGTAACTTGGATGAAGAGTAGAAGAAAAGGAGGCACCAAAAACGGCTGGAAACCCTAATGGAAGTGTTGTCCACGTTTTTGGGGCCTAAGGGGTCCTTTATATACTAGTGTAGGCTTCTAGGGTTTCAGTCAAAACCCTAATGGACAGCTTAAACTCTAAGCAGCCCATGGAACCTTCTGGACAAGGCTATGGACGAAAATATGATGGGCTTCCATCATAATTTCGTTCACCCCTTATTCCTATAGCATTCATTAGCCCAATAACTCAATTATCCAATAATTGCAGTCCAGTCCCCTATATTTAATTAATCTCTTTTAGCCACAAAATTAATTCTTAATTAATTCTTGACTAATATTAATTAAACAATATGATTTCTCCTTTAATATATTATTCTCATAATATATTAATAAATCATATTTAAACCTTTATCTCCTTAAATCATCCTACATATTGCTAGGGTGAAGGCAACCCAAAAGGACCATGCTCATAATCGGGTCAAGTACATACCAAAATAGTTATGGACTTAGACACTAATCCAACAATCTCCCACTTGGATAAGTCTAATAACTATTTTCCGTATGAATTCAGAACCTGATCAGCAATCGTAGCTTTCAAAAGCCGCTGTCAACTCTGATCTTATCAGATAACGTGTCCTCTAGATAAGGGATTATATATTCCTCCATTCTCAAGATATCGTATAGACATAAGACATGAATTTCAATCATTCTCTCTATACTGTTTCCCGACTTCCGATTTATGACGACTGACAACAGACTACAATTGAACACATCAACTTAGTCCCGGCTTGGCCAAGCACTTAGGTGTTATCACTAAATCATCGAGAGGCCCATAGATATCGCTTTTATCCCACTTTGGGTAAAAGGAATGGATAAACTTCGACTCAAATGCTCGCTTGTATTTACTGATCGAATCACACACAACAATAAGTTTTATAACACCAAGTTACTGGTGCGTTTACTTATTATCAATGTGTAACTGACCAACAAATAACAACTCACACGTCTCGGTTTCAAGAATATACAATATTATCATCTCACTAATCACTCGTGATAAAACCGTGAAGTGATCCAAGTGAGCGTGGGTTTAATCCAATACTTTAATCTTATCAAAGCACTCACGAACTCTGCAGCAAACTTGTGACATGTCTAAACACTTCAGACAATCTACAGACAGATTCATGACAGTCTTTATTCATACCTACTCCCAACGTATGACCAACTGTGGATGTTTGAATAACCTAGTTATTCTGGAAGTCAAAACATGCAAAGATATTTGTTGGCCTGTATTGTAATAAAATAAAATTTCGTGGGCACAAGCCAACCCACAAGTATGGCGTAGTTTACACCTACACTCAGTTATATTTTGAAAATTGGGCCGATCTAATTCTTGCAACATTTTTTGTAAACCATGATGTGAAACTTTACGTAATAAGCTTCTGAAAATTTCTATCATAAAAGTTGAAAGGTTGAAAGTGTAAATTTTAAAAACCGAAAGATAATAAAGTAAGATTCCTTTACTGTATATCCCGTTTGGTTTGTGATGATTAAAAATTGTGATGATTGAAA